TGGAAAGGAAGCAGCTTAGTTGAAGGGTCAGTAATAAAGGGGCATCACTTTAAGGTGACAGGCAGGAGGTTTAGAGGGGATTTGAGGGAAAATATTATCACCCAGAGGGTGGTGGGGCTCTGGAATGCACTGCCTGGAGAGTTGTAGAGGCAGGAAACCTCACAACCTTTACAAAGTTATTGGATAAGCACTTGAAGTGTCAATAACATTCAAGGTTATGGGCCTAGTGCAGGCAAATGGGACCAGTGTAGATTAGAGTAGTTTTTATTGTCAGTGCAGACTCAAGGAGCTGAAGGATCTCTTCTGTACTGTATAATTCTACGATTCTCCCAATGCGAAAAGGGGAGAGAGCTAAGGGATGCTAACAAAAATGAAGAGGTACTGACCTGGCTTTGCCAAGCTGTTTGACTGCCTCTGAGCTGGAGTTTCTGCTGGAAGAGGTGCTTTAGGTCAGCACAGGAGAAGGCTGTTCAACCATTGTGTTTGTTCTGACTCCCTGCAACAGCAACTCATCCAGTCATTCTCTCCCACCTTGCCCTGCAAATGTATCCTCTTCAACTGCTTCTCAAATTCTGTACTGAAATCCATGATTGAATCTGCATCCAGCACCTTCTCCCAAGTAGACCCACCGGCCCCCTCGAGCCTGTTCTGCAATTCCATAAGATCATGGTTGTTCGGATTGTGACCTCTACCCCAAGAATATTTCAACCCTTGCTTACCAAGAATCTATCCTTCTATGTTTGAAAAATATTCAAAGGTTCTGCTTTGACCACCTTTTGAAGACGAGAGTTCCAAAGAGCTATGACCCTCTAAGAGGAAAAGACCTGCCTCATCTGTTTTAAATGGGCGACCCCTTGTTCTTAAACAGTTGCTTTCTGACTACTCTGCCTCGACCCGTCATGATTTTGAACACAGGTAGCATTTCTCCAGTCTGTTAACTTGTTTATTTTTGTCTTACTTATGTCCTTCTGTGGTGCTACTCCTGGCATGCCCTCCACTACTCTCTATTGAACCAGAGTTAATCCCTGGCTTGATGGTGATGGTAGAATGGGGGATATGCTGGAACATGAGGTTGCAGATTGCAGTTGAATACAATTCTGCTGCAATTGATGGCCCACAGCACCTGCAGCTTAACTACACAAGCTATAAATTCAGTATGCTACATATACTTGCCTAGTCCTAGTTTAAACTATTGTGCTAGCTTAGGGAAGAAAGAAACCTGAAAACTCAGCAACGAATCACCTTACCTGCTTGACGATGTGCCCTCTCTCAGACCATCCCCTGTTGGGTAAAAGGTCAGATTACTAAAGCAGCCTGTGTCCATATGCAGCAAGACCTGGACAACATCCAGGATTGTGCTGATAAGTGGCAAGTACCATTTGCACCACACAAGTACCAGACAAAGCCTTTCTCCAACAAGAGAGAATCTGACTATCACCCCCTGTTTTTCAATGGCATTGCCATCACTGAACATCCTGGGAGTTATCATTGACCAGAAACTGAACTGAACTGAACTAGCCATATAAATACAGTGGCTACAAGAGCAGGTCAGAGGCTAGGAATCTTGCAGCAAGCACCTTCCTACAAGGCACAAGTCAAGAGTGTGATGGAATACTCCCCACTTGCCTGGAATGGGTGCAGCTCCAACAACACTCAAGAAGCTTGACACCGTCCAGGACAAACCAGCCCTCTTGATTGGCACCACATCCACAAGCATCCACTCCCTCCACCACTGACACTCAGTAGCAGCAGTGTGTACTATCTACGAGATGCACTGCAGAAATTCACCAAAGATCCTTAGACAGCTCTTTCCAAAAACACAACCATCTCGAAGGACAAGGGCAGCAGATACATGGGAATACCACCACCTTCAAGTTCCCCTCCAAGCCACTCACCATCCTGACTTGGAAATCTATTATTGTTCCTTCAGTGTCGTTGGGTCAAATATTGGGATCTCCCTCCCTTAGGGCACTGTTGGTGTGCTTGCACCCCTTTGGAAAAGATGTCTCCGGTTGTAGGAGAATCTAGCACTGGAGCTCTCAGTTTAAGAATAAAGGGTCATCCTTTAAGACAAAGATGAGGAGAAATGTGCTCTCTTAGAAGGTGATGAGTCTTTGGAACTCTCTTCTCAAAAAGGTAGTGAAAGCACTGTCTTTGAAGGCAGATTTCGAAAGGTTCTTGATAAACAAGATAATGAAAGCTTACTGGCAGTAGGTAGAGAAATGTGGAATAATCAGATCAGCCACAATCTTGATGAAGGGTCGCTGAACCTAAAACATTAACTCTGTCTCTCTCTCCAAAGATGCTGCCAGACCTGCTGAGTTTCTTCAACAATTTGTGTTTTTGTTTCAGATTTCCAACATCTGCAGTTGTTTGTTTTATTTCAGCTGCAGTCCTATTGTATGGAGGAGCAGGGTTGAGGGACCGAGCGGCTTACTCCCGCTCCTAATTCGCATGTGTGTACGGACTACATCGGTTCAAGAAGGCAGCTCACCATCGTCTTCTCAAGGGCAATTATTTTTCTGTTCATAACATGTGACCATCTCTGGTTCAGCCAGTATTTATTGCCCTGGAGAAGGTGGTCATGAGCTGCCTTCTTGAACCACTGCGTTCCTTGAGATATAGGGACACCCATGATGCTGTTCTAGTATTTTGATTAAGGATGTGCAACTAATCCTGGCCTTGCCAGTGACACGCGTATCCAATGAATAAATAAATTAAGGAACCTTTCCTTCTCTATGTTGAATTCATCTACTCACCAAATTTCCTGAGTTAATTGAGTGCTGTGTAGTCGCAGTACTCCTTTGAATTGCACTTGAATGGTGCTAACTTTATGTGTAAGCAAAACCTCCTATCACAAGGAATGTGGCTGTTCCAAGGCACCATATCCTCAGGCCATTCATTGCATCATGTCTGGATGGAATTGGATGTCTGATATGTCACTGGATGTGTCAGCCCTTGTGGGCACTTCAGCACTTGGTATCCTTGCAGCGTTTCTAGGGCTGGCTCACTGCTGACACAGTGTGAAGACAGTCTTCACAGGTAGGTGTGATTCTGCCTAGAGATACAATTGACAGCACTTTGGGTGTTGTGACCAATCAGGTCAGCATCACCTTTTCATGCAGCATCAGTGAATGTATGACAGGCATAAATGTGAGTGAAGAGACCACTGAGGAACGAAGAGTTAGTCAGGCCTTCAGTGATACTGAGACTGTTGCGACAGATTGTTGGAACCTCTTGTGTATGCAACTCATCTGCTTAAATGTTGTATGTATATCCCTGTCTGTAGCTGTGGGTGTGAGAGGACCTATCTCCAGGTGGTTCCCAAGAGTTGGATTTTTGGGGAGTCAACAAAACTCAGTTGACCTTGAAATTTGGTGGATGGAATCCAATCCCTAATGCCTTCAGTTTTCCTCATGGCGGGATAAAAGTGCAGGGTAGTTCGGATGATGATCCCTCACCCTGGAACTCCCAACCTATCCAATTTCATTATGGAGACAGGCATCTCCGAAACACCCACAATTTTAATGGATTCCGGTCAACTTTTCAAGGAGTCATGGTTGACTCCTCCCAAGTGTTAGGAACAATAATTTGGTCGAGAGTACCTTTTGAAAGGTAGGCTCAACTCATCTATGCCCCTCCACTACCTCCAATGGCCCTTCATAGCCTCCATGCCAACCTAAAGCACTTGCATGCCTATTCACCCAGTGTACACTCTGTGCAGAACCAATGAACTATGTAGAATGTATGCAAAAGCTTTAAATACCAATCAATAAAAACCGAAAGAACTGCGGAGGCTGTAAATCAGGAACAAAAATAAAGTTGCTGGAAAAGCTCAGCAGGTCTGGCAGCATCTGCGAAGAAACAGTCAAATCTAACGTTTCGGGTCCGGTGACCCTTCCTCAGAGGTTAACTCTGATTGATTGTTTCTTCACAAATGCTGCCAGATCTGTTCAGCTTATCTAGCAACTGTGTTTAAACACCAGTCATTCATTCATTACTCTGAACAGGAAACTGTTATTACAACATCCTTACAAATGTTTCAACCATCTAGACTTTTAAAAGTATCAATCCCAGAAAGTATGAACACTTAGCACCTCTTTAGCTTATGTACATAAAAGTCTGCAAGTGCCACAATAGATCCAAGAGAAAGAACAGTCTATCAAACAGGTTCAATAGACTAATGGATATCTGGGCTCTCAGCTCATAATATGGCTTGCTGAGGATTGTAAATCTAGAGTCAGTAGCAAATTCCATCACAGCATGACAATATTAAATGAGAATCTTGTGATAATTGAATGGGTTCAAATAAGTTTTTTTATTCAATGAACTCAATTTAAATGTCCCATCTTCCATGGTGAGATTTGAATTCATGTCCTTAGATGATTATTTCAGGTTGCTCTGGATTACTCATTCAGTGACACAAGGACTATGCCATTCTCCTGAAGTGTTTCCACCCAAACTTTGTTTTCAAATCTATGGAATGGAGCATAACTTTCTGATTTAAGTGTAGCAAAGTGCTACCTCCTAAACCACAACTGGTAAGGGAGAAAATAATAAATATTTGATAAGAATAAAAACATCTTTGGGCTGAGGCAAATCTCAAGTAATAAGTTGTAAAATAAATTTATAACTTTTATTTACTGTAGCCTACTCTTTATAAACTCTCAGCAAAGCAGGCCAGCAGCAATAATATCTGGGACTCCAGACTGGAAAACAAAATCCTAGTCAAGGTGACATGAACTTGTTTGGTGGAGGGGAGGAGTTTTGTAAATTTGGCTAGATTAGGGGGCAGAGATAAACCTTATGACTCACACACACACATCTTCTACCAAACTGAAGTAACGGGAGGCAAATAAGAATGCCAATCTAGGCATTCAATAATCCCGAGCATCAGGTGATCAGAACAGAAAAAGAACATTATATTGACGTTTCTTTGGAGATGTAAAAATTCGCTGTCTGGAGGCCGACAATTATAGCACAGTTTTGTGTCCTGTTAGGTTTGAGAAATTGGACATCACTCCTAAAAGTGCACAGAAGATCAAGCCAGTTCTAGAAAGATGGCTGACAGAAGCAGAAATACGACACCGTGCGGGCATACAGAACCTCACTGAGTTCGTTGGTAGTGAACCTTCAAAGAAACGCAAACGACGCACATCTTTCACACCACAGGCCCTGGAAATCCTTAACGCCCACTTTGAGAAAAATACACACCCCACAGGTCAGGAAATGACAGAGATAGCCGAGCAGCTGAACTACGACCGAGAGGTGGTTAGGGTGTGGTTCTGCAACAAGAGGCAGACTTTAAAAAACACCATCAAGCGACTGCAGCAGAATGACACGGCGGGAACAGGTTCAGTTGAACGATTATCGGACTCCACAGTAAACATTGCTGGAACAGGCTGACCTACAGAAGACTCTTTCAGTGAGTTGTTCCAACGTTTTTATAAATAGCACTATGAGGATCATTTAGAGGGTAATGGCCAAGCAGCAAAAGTAGACATCCCTAGATCACTGCATCTCTTCTGTCTACTAAGGTATATTGTGGTATACAGCCACATGGATGGAGCTATTAGAGTGAATTACTGTAATATTTAGGAATAGTATATAAGCTGCTGCATAATTCATTTTGTAGCACCCACAGTCCTTCAGGTCAAATGTCACAGTCAGTTATAATCCCCCTCCTCCTGTGTCATCTTACTTCAACCTTGTGACCGACTGAGCATCTCTGATGTCTATCCAGCTGTTCAAGTTTGCCTTGAGGGGTCCATACCCTGTAAAATGATACATACAAGGGTGTTACAAGTTGCAATCCAGCTTTCTGAGAACTGAACAAATTTATCTTGTGAGTTCTGAGATTCATATCAGCCAATTTTGATCTTTAGTTTACTCCAGGTGACCTTGCCTCAAGCAGAACAGTTGTAGCAGGTGCAACAATAGACCTGGGGATCCTGGAGTTGAACAAGAGGTGGGGAGAACAAAATGCAATATTCCTTGTTGCTGCACAATGACCATACCAGAAATGTGTATACGTGGAAGTCAGGTGAGAAACTAGGCTCAGCTATGGTTGTAAAGGCTCTATTTTAACACCCTTCCCAACTGGACTGCCACAAAAGGGTATGGTGAGGGGATAAAGTCCTAGAAATGGCAAAATGCACGCAGCTACCGTGATGTTAAAACTGCAGGTACTGGAGTGGCTGAGTGTCCTGCAGTGGAGAGACGGGAGCTCGTGTTGATCTGTAAATTGGGGACCTCTGATGCAGCTTAGATCCTGGATTTTAACTGATGGACCATGGCTTTTGTATAGGTCAAT